TTTTACCATTGAAGAAGTGTGGTTTTAGAGTGGAAGATATACGTAATTAGGAACTTCGTCTTGTGTATATAAATCGAGGATCAACGGGTGCAGTGTTGGCGGTAGACTTAGGGTTATTACTAAGCGCGATAATGCCATCAGCTTGTTCTAGGTCGGGTACTCTGAATTCACGGCTCATTTCACATATTCTGAAAAGATCCAAAGTTCAGCGGTTGTGTGACCTCGTCGCAGTTGAATCCTGTGACTCTAAGGCGCCTGCTAACTATTGTTGTATCGGGTAGGAATCGGAAACGACGTGCAAAATGTCCTTCCCCTAGTCGACCAGAACGTTGTTCACAGTTCCTTACTATGGCGCAGTCAAAAAGGCTTGGGAGAAGTACGTGCCACACAACGGCTAAGAAAATCAAACTAAAAGAAAACTTGACAATATAAGTAAAACACAGCGTTGACGCAGAAGCTATCTATACAAACTCTGTCACCTGAAAGGGAAACAAGGGGATATAAAATTAAGCGGAGATTGTTATAGAGAATGTTTTAGTGAATATGTTTGCGTTACGTAACAACCGCTCAGTGCCTGGGTATATACAATATAACACTGAACTAGCCTCTGCCTCTCAATAAAAGTGACTTAAACCGGGCTTGTTTATAGCCAGTCTGCGATAACCACACCTGATACTACTGGGAAGATCCTGCCTCTAGAGCCTACTGACAATAACAAAAATATATCGGTTTGAGCGGATATCAGCAGACTAACAATAGGGGTCGACCATCACAATCGCCTGGGCGATCGTGATAGTATCACACGAAGTGAGCTGAGAATACGAAGGCAAACAAACTAGACCTACCCCCATCAGCGGATACACTTTGATTGTCCGAACGAAACTGATGATAGAAGTTTGATTTGAAAGATGGCGTGCAGAACCGAGGATTAACTGCGAAACCACGTGCCATTGTCGACCTTGGCTATTTCTACACCAATCTACTCATAATAGCGTGCCAATCACAGCCAACTGAAGGTATGTAGTGAAGAAAGGTCGCTTTATTCTGTTCCTGAAAAAAGTTCGGCCTTTGCTGAAGCATGTTGTACCGCATTGAATGAAATATGGTTATTTATAGGTATTCAACACAAACTTTATATAATCAGTGTACTCACCCGAATAATGTTCGTTGAAACTTCGCCAATCAGTAGTAAGAGTATCTGAAACACGGAAATTGGATATCCAGTGGGTGAAGTAAACCATGGCAATATTGTCTGCCGAGGTAGTGCCAGGAACTGCAACAGGTTATCGTTCGAAGCGATCGACAGCGGTCAAAATGGAAGTATTGCTACGGAATTGAGGTAAAGTTCCAGGTGGAGATCGTGAAGATGTACATACACTGGGAACAGTGATGGTGCTTAAATAAATCAATAAATTTTATATTTTAGGCCCGAAGGGCCTCGTCATTGCTTAGTGGTGGAAACGTGTGCCGCTGGACTTTTTTCTTTTGGCAGACTAAGCACTGCCTAGTTCAAAATACAAAATTGGCGTTCGTCTTAGGCCAGATGAAACGTGCCGCAATGAGTTTGTAACTGACGTGATCGCTGAGGTGGGACCAAGAGTGGAAATGGTCAAACACTATCTTACGATAAGACTGTTGTCCGACAGGACAGGGAGCACCTGTAGACCTGCTGGAAGTGGAGCATCACGAAACTGTAGTGAAGAAAACGCACGCATTTCCGTGCATCGCACCATGCGATTGCAATTCCGCTAGCTTTGCCAGGTCGAATTCGGTGGTAAAGGTGTTGACGTCCGGATGAGATAGAGCGTCTGCGACAATATTGTCGCTACTGCGGATTAGGCGGAGATAAGACGGTAACTGTGACATATAATTGAAATGGCGTATTTCTCGGTACGAATAGCGATCTGACTTGGCCGTCAGGGCGTAGGGGAGAGCTGTATGATCCGTGTGGTACTGAAAGGCTCTGCCCTCCAGAAAATGGTGAAAATGTCGTAAAGTCAAGAAGTCAATGAGTAGTTCACAAGAGAAAGAACTGTTGTGAGTCTGCGTTGCTTGTAACTTCTGTAAGAAGAAAGCTTGTGGCTGCAAATGGTTGTTAATATGTTGATGCAGGACTGCGCCGAAAGCAATGTTGGATGCGTCAATGGTGAAGAGTAACTGTGAGTTGTCATGGGGGCTCAGATGATGTTTCATAGCGGCATCCGCGAGTGCTTTCTTGGCTTCCTAAAATGCCTCAAGAGCGGTGGCCGAAATTTGAAATTATTTGGCTCTTTACTTTGAAAGATTCGTCAAAGTTTTTAATAAAGCGACGGTACTAGTTGATCAGACCGATGAAACGGCAGAGCTGTGTAAGTATTTGAGGAGCTGAAAAAGACAGCACGCTTTGCATTTTTTTCTGAAATCGGGGTGGTTCCGTGTTGGTCGACAGAGTGACCAAGATAACCCAGAAAAGAGACACCAAAAGGCACCTGTGGACGTTCAGCACTATTTCGCTGAAAGCGATCGAAAACCTGGCGCAAGTGCTGAGCGTATTCTTCGGGCGAAGAACTAGCGACAAGGTAATGCCCTGTAAGACATCGTCACCAAAACGCTGGAACCTCTGGGCCGTATTACGCAAACCGAAGAGCATGCAAAGAAATTCGAAAAGACCAAAGGGCGTTGTGACAACAATATTATGGATGTCTTACGCGACCGGTATTTGGTGGTAAGCTCTGACGTGGTTGATTTTGGAACAAAATGGTTTTTCCCGGCAGCATGTGCGAATATGAGATATCGGAGTTTGGCCGGTGTATCTATTCAAAGTGCGGTAATCACTGCATGGTCTCCAATCATCGGAGGACTTCTTGGGTACCATGTATAGTGGAGAGGCCCATGGCCTAGACCAGGGATCGGCAACCTTTTTAACTCAGACAGCTAAGAAAGCAAATATTTGGGAATATATTTCAGTGAGAACCATATGGTATATGTTAAGATGAAACTCAATTAAATGCGGGTATAATAAGCCTCTGAATTTACTTTTTAAATAATATTATGATAATACTCATTGTCACTGCGACTTCTGGTGCTGCATAGATTCGCTGATGGCTTTATAGTCTGTTTGGTAGTTGGTGAGGTTAAGTTTCACGCAAGTGTTCAGGCCTTTCATTCATTAGACGTGATCGCAGGGTGGACTTAATGTATCTAAGATATGAGAATGACTGCTCTAATGCATAAGCAGATCCAAACAGGTTCAATACAGAAATTCTCCCACGCTGCAGTCTTTGGCATATGACCAGAAGCGTTTCCAAGTTCATATTATCAGCTGGTCTTCAGGTTAAAGTTTTTTTAAATTTTTGTCCTCATGCACTTGCTTGCCAACTCCGCTTTATCTTGTGCGATTCTTTCGAAATCTTCATTGAGTGACTTGAACTTAATTACCCGCATATCTGAGGCCCTCGGGTCAGCCAATTCTTCTTCGAAATCTCTAACGGAGACACCGGAATATAATTTAGGTCGGCTGTGTTCAGTGAACACTCGGTTGGATGGGTGATAAACTTTAGAGACGTGTGTGCTATCGAAATTCTCCAAAGCTTGCTTTGAACGACTGTAAGAGACTGCATGTGAAGCCAACTAGCTGGTGGAGATCAAAGTTTTGAGTGAACTCACTTACTGCGCATGCATCTTTGTATTGGCTCAGTTTTTCAAAATGTAGTAAGCGATCTGTTTCAAGATCCATGATAAAGAGTTCCAGCTTCCTTTCAAAAGCAAACACTAATTGTTGAAGTGATAACACTGTACTTCCATTGCCTTGCAATTTAACGTTGGGTTAGTTTAGATGTTCGATCATATTCACGAGATATTAAAGCATGAAGAACCACTCAGTTTCGGCTAGCTCACGATGCTCAATGCCCTTCATTTCAAGGAAAATCCGAAGTTCCTTCAGGCAAACTGCAAAACGACTAAGCACGTTCCCTTTTGACAGCCAAATCTGCAAAATCAGACCATGATAGTTATTTCCAACTTCATCCAGCAATGTTTTAAACTGTCGATCATTTGAGGTTTAGGCAACAATAAAGTTGATCACGCGAATGACCATTGACATCACTTCGCCAAGCTGTCCGTCACATGTCTGAGCACAAAGAGCTTCCTAGCGTTGAATGCAATGGAAACGTAGGATGGGTTGATTGTCATGTTCACTGAGAAACGCCGCAAATCCTTTGTTTTTCCCATCATACGCGGAGCACCATCAGGACACACTGAGTTAAGTTTATCAATAGGTAGTTATTTGTCTTGAGCGCACTCAATGAAAGACTTGAATTAATCCTCACCTTTTGTGGACCCTTTTATTGGCAGAACCGCAAGACTTTCTTCGTGCAGTGTATCACCAGCAGCATATCTTGCAATCACGCTGAACTGCTCCAAATGTCTTACGTCTGTTGACTCATCCAAAGCCAGGGAAAAGAACGACGCTGCATTTATGTCGTTCACTTGGGTTTCCTCCACGTGGGTTGCCGTTATGATGGTACGCTCACGAACAGTTTTTGCCAAAAAAGGCATGTCTTGTATCCGTTTGATTATCTTGTCTTTGTTCGGAAGATCATCAAAACGTTTATTAGCTACATCCAGCATGAACGTCTTAGTAAACCCGCCACCTATGTATGGTTTTCCGTTCCTGACTATTGCTAAAGATCCAGCAAAGCTAGCGGAGTTATAGTCACCTTGCTGGGTCCACACATGGAGTTTCCTCTGGCTAGTTTGCATCCTGCTCAATAGCTCTTGGCATGCTCTCTTTCGGCCATCTCCCGCAGGCTATTTTGATGCAAAGGTATCGTATTGACACTGAACTGCCTCTTTGTTTGACTTGGTTAAATATGCCTTGCATTAACTTAACAACTTTTAAATAAGACGTTGAACAAGCACGTGCTTTTATCTGCAAACGACTTTGTTCTTATTTACTGGTTCGTAACAGCTGGGATACTCTTATCTCAGATTCTTAGGTAAACTATTTTGTATCCTACATTGGTGAGTCTGATTTTTAAGTGCATTTTCAATTGCCAACCATTACTATGCTGTTTTGCCCTCATTTCTCGCCGCAAAATGTTGTCCACTGACTGACGAATTCACACCCCGTATTGTTAACCAGTAGAAAGACTGTGTTTAATTCTCTACCCCGTCCAGAGAGTGACTAACCCTGTGTCACCCGCATACTTTGTGACCTTTGACACCATGATTCAAAGACAGAGCCAGGCCATAAGCGGCATTCACACATTCGAACTGCAAAATCCCTGGCTTAGTGACATAATCCTTTGGCTGCGAACCGTCGAATCCCGTTTTGCTCTGCGGCAAATCATGAAGGAAGAAACCAAATTTCATTATCTCGTGGCTGCATTACCATTGGAGATTGCAACAGACCTCCGTGATATTATAGAAAGTCAACTCACAGAGACACTCTATATTACACTAAAGGAAGCCCTAATCTCCCGTGTCTCCTTATCAGCGTCTAATTTCCGAGGAGGACCTTGGTGATTAGACGCCAACTCAGCTTCTTATGCATCTGGAGCAGCTAGCTCAGGGACAACGGCTGGGCGGTACCATGTTCAAACAGCTTTTCCTCCAGCGGCTGCCCTGCTCCGCGCAAGCTATCCTTGCACCCAACATCCTTTCCTCGTCAGTTCAAACGCATACTGAGACAGCCAACAGGATACCCAAGTACTATCAATCGCACGTCTCGGGCCGTAACGACACCTACCATCGCAGATGTCTTAAGACGCCTAGATGCCCTCATTCTCGAAGTTAACTAGCTCCAGGCCACTCGTGTCTACAACCCTCGTAGTCCTTCGACTATTCTTCGCCCGAAATCCCTCATTCCAAACCAGCCTACAGTTGATAATTTGTGTTGGTACCATCACAATTATGGCCAATTATGGCCCATCGCTGTCAATCTCCATGTAAAGACAAGAAACCTGCTCCATGAAACTTCGCTGCCGACCCGTAAGGATGACGAAAGTGGTCGGTCCCTCCTCTCCCAGTCACCTACTTCACACTTATGATAGGAGTTGTTGTCGTTACTTTCTTGTCGACTCGGGAAGCGAACTTAAATTAATTACACCCAATTCGACTGATCGTTAGCCCCCTTATTCTTCTTTTTCGCTTTAAGCAGCTAATGGTACTCATATTAACACTTTTGGTCAACGATCCCTCACGCTATTTTTGGGTCTACGACGTTAATTTCGTTGGATATTTACTATCACTGACGTTCATACCGCCATTCTTGGCGCCGATTTTCTACTATTTTTCGGTCTATTCGTTGACATCAAGTCCCATAAACTACTTTACTGTAAGAGTTCTACGCGTACCCCTTCATCACCTTATCCACGCATTTCAGCAATCCATCCGTGTACTTCCTACATCCTTAACTTTCGAAAAAGGTGTTTTATAATACGACCATCACAATTTAATGAACCCATTAAGCATTCTGTAATACATTATATTTCAAATTCCGGACGACCCGTTCTTAGTCGTCTTCGTCGCTTACCCGCCGACAAGTTAGCTATCACTACATATGGCTGTTCTTCGCGCGCGCTTCAAATTGCGGTTTAAATTCCTCGTCCTCCGTAGGAAATATTATTTTCGGGATTTCGGTTCACCTAGCACTC